TTTTTTGTTGTCTTTTGGTTGAAGTAATGCAATCCATTCAAGTTTCAATTTGCAGAAGAATAATAGTTTACTATCGCAATGCGAAAATGACTATCGCAATGCGAAAATGACTATCGCAACGAGAGAATCGCAATGCGAAATGAAAATCGCAACAACAAAATCGCAACGCGAAAATGACTATCGCAATGAGAAAATGACTATCACAATGCGAAAATGTCTATCGCAATGCGAATTTGACTATCGCAACGAAAGAATCGCAATGTGAAATAAAAATCGCATTGCGATTCTCTCGTTGCGATAGTCAAATTCGCATTGCGATAGTCAAATTCGCATTGCGATAGTCATTTTCGCGTTGCGATAGTCATTTTCGCGTTGCGATAGTCATTTTCGCGTTGTGATTTTAAGTTTCAGATTCTATTCTTCTTCTGCAAATTGAAACTTGAATGAATTGCATTACTTCAACCAAAAGACAAATACTAACTTCACAGTGTTAAAAATTTAAGTTTCAAGAATAAACTACTACTCTTTATGTTGTCATTGAACCTGCACTAAACCTATATGTTGTCCTTTTAAATGTTTATATAAGTGCTTACTTCTAGAATGTTATCTGATGCATTTTGTGAACAATGATATAATAATGACTTGGGTGAATACCGTGCAAGTTTGAAATATATTTGTCTTTGTTTTCACTGTTTAATATCATGTATGTTTATTTACTGATTTATGTATTAATTTATTTTTAGCGGCCCGCTAAGGTGGATGCTCTACGTCGGGTTTTTCTTGCAAGACGGAGTTCACGCATCAGACGGCGTGCACGTGCCATTACGTCTCCATTCACCCCAATAGTGCAAAGAATCCGTAAGAAAAAGCCCGACTCACCTGTCATCGTTCAAGAGGCCTCCCCTATCGTTCAAGAGGCCCCTATCATCCCTCAAGAGTCCCCTCCCACCGTTCAAGAGGCCACTGTCATCGTTGAAGAGGTCCCTCCCAACATTCTAGAGCCCGATTCACACAGCGTAATATATCGAATTATTGAGAAGCCCCCTCACGTGCCAGACATGATGGATGACTGTTGGCTTTTGTATAAGTTACCGGCCAGTACCATTCCGGCAGATAAAGTAGAGAGGAAATAACTACCTGAAACAATTCTGGATAATACCCTTTGGGCTAAGACCGCAATTGATTTTTATCTACATGAGCGGAGCCAAGGGTGTTACGCTGACATATACAAACTCAACGATGATATGCATTTGTTGATTGAACGGTCTTGGTGGGGTGTATTATTAGGGGTTGAAGACAACGACTATTTCGATGGGGGGTAAGTCTTATATTTCTTCTTATATTTCAGTTTGATTAATTTTTTTTAAAATTTATGTAATTAACTAATATATGTCTTTTTTTGTAAAACAGCATATTGATGCATGGGTGACATGTCTTCTAATTGTAAGGAAATTGAAGAAAAATATAAAAAAATGCGATATACAATTATGCCGACGTCTTTTCACGTAGTTCACTTGAAGAATCAATGACAGGAATCATATGTGTTGGCTAATGGACAAGCTAAACTTTATCCTGTATGGTGGGAGGTCGATAAGGTTAGTATTTATTTGTTTAAATATTTTAAAGGTGTTCATAAATAAGTGCGCAATTTGAATTATTACATTTCGATGCAGGTGTTTATCCCTGTTTTGGAATGTACTCATTGGCTTCTCGTCGAGCTTCAGCTCCCATCCCTAAAGAAAATAGTATATGACAGCATGATAAATTACATATCATTGTCTGATTTGAGAGATATTATTAAGGGATGGAGCTCTCATTTGGCTAAATTCTTGGATGCAATTAATTATTGGACTAATTCTGGAAACAAGAAGCCAAAGAAGTTCAATGTTACAGTTATCATAGACGAGACCGCGCCACAACAAACGAAGGAAGCCAGAGGGGATTGTGGTCCTCTCGTATGCATGTGCTTGGAGCGTTTGACGACAGGAAGTACACAGTTTCTACCTCCCACCGATAGAGATAGAGGTGCAGTAGGCTTGTGGTTTCGGCATTTTATGGCTAGAACGATATATGCGAGACGCTGCCTACTTGCATCCGTGTTATGAAAGTGTCCATAAACAATTTGTAAGTCAAATGCAAGTGTTGTTAAACATATATACTCTTTTTGGTTTGAAAATGTTTGGTTAAGTAGCTAGAATTCAATAATTTACTGTCTGTAGGTTTTAGATGTGTAGAAAGTGTTGTTGATTCAATGTTTAGTTTCTGCAGGTTAATCCTAAAGTGAGCTACGTGAAATGGATGTATGGGTGCAAAAGTTGATTCAATAATTGATGAGGAAATAATTCTTATTATTATTTTTTGATTGTTTAATTGATTTGTAAAAGATGATTTGTAAATGTTGATTTATTTAATTGATGTGTACATAATTATTATTTGTGCTTGTTTAATTGATTGAAATGTAATAGTTGATTTGTTGATTTCAATCTGCATTATGTTGAATGCAAAACAGACTATCGCAATGCGGAAATGACTATCGCAATGAGAGAATCGCAATGCGAAATGAAAATCGCAACGAGAGAATCGCAACGAGAGAATCGCAATGCGAAAATGAAAATCGCAACGCAAAACTAAATTCGCGTTGCGATTTTCATTTTCGCATTGCGATTCTCTCGTTGCGATTTTCATTTCGCATTGCGATTCTCTCATTGTGATTGTCATTTTCGCGTTGCGATAGTCAATTCTGCGTTGCGATAGTCATTTCCGTGTTGCGATAGTCATATTCGCGTTGCGATTTCCACGTTGCGATAGTCAAATGAATGTCTAATAAGTGATAACAACTGAACATATTATAGCAATGTTCAAACTCAAGTTACTAATACATGCCTAACTGAAAATGTTAACAGTTCACACATAATATACACATAATACAACGTTTGCATTTAAAAATCACCTAAGTTAACAGTCCCAAAAGGTGAAGCCGATTATGATTGGGATTTTGATGAGGATCCATATTTTGGTAGAGGAAAAGATGATTGTGATGGCACTGGTGATCCACATGTCAACCTTGTATGACCACTTTCCTTGCACCGACCACATTCTCCCATGACCCTCCAAAACACAAATCTATCCAAACATGATCAACATTAGATGATTTCATTATTATAAATTAATTTACTAAACAAACGAGCTCTGAAACTAAAACATGTTGCCGGATGGGGAAGGATGTCGTTGGATATAGGAACGGATGTCGCCGGAGAGAGTGATAGATGGAGATGGAATGAGTTACGATTTAGGGATTTAGGTTATGAGTTACTGCTGCTGCGTAGTTATATACCCAAAACATTTGTGTTGCGAAACTAAAACCTGTTGCGAATTCAGAAATCGAGTTACGAATTTGAAATTCAGTATTGCGATAGTCAGAATCTTGTTGCGATAGTCAGATTCGCGTTGCGATTTACGTATTCGCATTGCGATTTACGTATTCACATTGCGATTTACGTATTCGCATTGCGATTTACGTATTCGCATTGCGATTTACGTATTCGCATTGCGAATTAGGAAAATCGCAATGCGATAGTCAGAATCGCGTTGCGAATCTGGAAACTGATTTGCGATACCGGAGATCGCGTTGCGAATTATCGATTGCATTGCGATTTAGTTGGTCATTTTGGCAAATCCAAAAAAGGTTGGTTAAAATCGTATATTATAAGGCATTTTTGGTCACTGAGGTTATTTTCTCTTTTAGTGGAGCTGGATATTCCTATAATTGGATTCTACATGTTTTGGTTTAGGCTCTCAACTTCACTTTTTCTTCCTTTTAGGACTCTTCTTCGAGTGAATATATTGTTTACTGCACCGCATTGCAGGTTATGCTCCCATCTGCTAAATCGGTCGTCGAATTAAAGCGACAGGTTGATGCATAAGTAAATATGATGCAGAAGGCTCGATAAATACTCGGATTGAATGGACTCGACTCGAGACAGATCGCGAGCTACTCGAGATCGACTCGATCAAGGCTCGATAAATACTCGGATCGAATGGACTCGACTCGAGCTCGAGCTCGACTCGATTTCTTAACGAGTCGAAACGAGCTACTCGATATTCGACTCAAAAAGCTCGTGAGCAGCTCGAAAAAAATATTATATTATAATTTTAGATTTTTTAAAATTACATTATTAAAAATACATTATTGATAATTATAAAATTTTAAAAATATATTAAAATTTCTATAATACAACTAAGACATCTCATTCCTTATAATTGTGTGATAGAGTTTATGGTTTATGGTTTATGGTTTAAATAGGGTTTAGGGTTTTGAGTTTATAGTTTATGGTTTAGGTGTTAGGATTTAGGGTTTAAGTTATACACATGAAACTAACATACAAATTATGCAAAATGATGTTATGTGATTCCTAAATAAATCATTCGCATATTTATACATAAACATATCAACATGCAAAATAAATATACACAACTACTTAAAGAAGACAATTCTTAAGAGAGACTAAATTATTACCTAAACTAAAGTGTGCTTACACTATATATGCATGCATACGAATGAAATGCAAATGCACATACATTAAGATGAAACAATATAAGATTAAACCTACTATTAATAACTTAAACTCATATTTTAAAAATACCATGAAGGACCAAAACAAAATAAAACTGAAAATATGCATAAAAAGTAAAAATTACTCATTAAATTAAACAAGCCAACTAAGGAATTACAATGCAAAATAATTAAAATTACAAGACACAATTAAAAACAAGTACAAATTAAAGGAACACTAAAGTAGGATATCTAGGGTAAAAACTCTTACCCTAATTCATTTCCCCTCAAACTTTCTCTGGCTAAAACTTCTCCCTCGTCGTTCTCTTCTCAAACCTCGTCCACTCGCAGTCCTAGTAGAAACCCATAGCCACCATGGCCTAAACGCTCCCCAAGACTTCGGGCGACAAAGGCAAGCTCCTATCGACGGAAGGTAAGATTTTACTTACTGGTTCTCTGGCCACTGATGGTTTTTGTTGGTCGAATGATTTTGTGTCAAATCAGCTCGAAATTTGAACTGAGGCGTTTTTGTCGCACAACAGGAACTTCCGCTCTTGTGAGCATTCTATCTAGATTATAGTAAAAGGAAAAAAAAGATAATGTTTTTCGTTTGCAATCTGATGAGCTTTTAATTCTTTTGACAGTTGAAACTCAGCCAACTGAAGGCTGATGATTTGGGATTTATTGATTCAATTTCAGTTGAGGAAATCGGTGGTTCTCGGGTATGTTTTATGAGTTTGCTTTTACTCGTATTTGGTTTCTTGTCTTTTATTCAGTTTGTTTTGTATTATCTATTAAGTGTAGGTCACTGTGGTGAGAAGTGAAGAAGGTGGTAACAAGATATCCACTGTGCTTCTACGAGGAAGTACTGATAGTATATTGGATGATCTTGAAAGAGCTGTTGATGATGGGGTGAATACATATAAGGTGATAGTTGCCAAATATTTACTTTGTTTCTAAGTATTCTTCCAAGTATTGTACTGTTTCTCCTCTGTAAACTTTATTGAGTTCTGTATTTCTTACCTTTTGAGACATTTTTTTGTTTATTTTTGGATGTAAATTTCAAGGGAAGTATCATTATCACTTTCTTAATGCCGTATTTTTTGTCAGGCAATGTGCAGGGACAGTCGGATGGTTCCTGGAGCTACAACTACTGAAATTGAGTTGGTTAGAAGATTGAAAGAATTCTCCTTTAAGGAAACAGGGTGATCTATTATTTTTATGCTTTTACTTCTTTACTATAAAGTATCACCCTGCATATTATGTGCTGCTCTTGAATTGCATGAATGGCATGATCGAGTCATGATGGCATGATCGAGTCATGATGGCATGATCGAGTCATGATGGCATGATCGAGTCATGATAACATTTTACCTGCACACATATATATATATAAATTTTGGAATATACAGTAGATTTTGGACTACTGGCTAATTGGGTAAATGGTTATTTTGCAGATTGGATCAATATGCCATTGCTAAGTTTGCTGAAAGTTTTGAAATGGTACCAAGAACCCTCACAGAGAATGCTGGACTCAATTGAATGGATATCATATCTAAGCTGTATGAAAAGCATGCATCTGGAAATACCAAAGTGGGCATCGACTTGAAGGGAAGGTAAGGCATATTAGAGTGTTTAGGTTATATTTCTTGACAATGTAAGTTCCAATGGATAAGAAGTCAGAATTTCTTTTATAACATTTTATCTTCCATAAGTAATCTTGTTTTGGTGGTCAGATTTGATCATACAAGACATTAGGATGATTCAGTAATTTTATTTGTTTACTCCTATACAAAATTTCACTTCTAATTTATCTTATGCTGCTGTTTCAGGCTGTTGCGGAAATCGTAACTAGAAGACATTTTGATACACATATCGAGTCGGTATGTCAACTATCACCGAAACATCTAGCCTGTACTTATGATGAAGTATTTCTTGCCTCATTCTAATTTATTATGTCGTTTTTAAGATTAAAATTATCCAAACTTATTGATTTTAGTTTCATCTTACCAATCTACAGGGAATGACTTTTCTGATGACACGAATGTATGAAATTCTCGAAATCTATATAATACAAGTTATTAACGTATCAAAATTTATATAAATATAAAATATTTTAACACGATTATGATACCACAAAAATACAAGAAAATGATACTATATATAGATGAATTGCCAGGTTTTCAAATCTATCCTTTTTATAAGAAACTTTTCCATTTCTCTCTCTCCCCCTTCCTCTATATTTGTTTGATTGGCCCTGTATGGTAGCTTTGTCCAAGCTATAGGCTTTGACCATTTGTTTCAAGCAAATAAAGAGTGGAACTTTAATAATGTGTGTATTGTACTATACTTAATTCAAGTTCTACACATAGCATAACTAATTACTTATATTTAACAAAGGCTGCTTCAATCGGCTACCAGATAGTTGGTCTGTATATGCTCCACTAAGAACATATACTACATCTTGAATAATCTGTAGAAGATTTGAAGTTATTATACATCTAATTATTAAAGTTTGGGATTTTTTTTCAATGTTCTGCAGGAGATGATTTCTGCTATTGCAGAACTTGAAAGTAATAGACAGCCTCTTGCCATGCAATATGATAAGAAAGCCAAGGTAACTACGGTAGGAATCATGCAGATTTTCCCAACAACTGCAGAGTGGTTGGTCAGGTACAATTTTATATTTTCTAGTGTAGCTGCACTGGAACTAAGCTAACCCTGCTTTGGATTATGAAGTTCTAGTTTGAAAATTCCTGTAGGGAATGTCATATTTCATTGTACAAAGTTGAAGAGGATCCGGATATTCTATATAGCCCTTTGTAAATGTATATTTCGGAGCAACCTACCTTAAATGGTTATCAAACTTCGAAAACAAGTGAGCTTTCAGGGAAGAACTTGGATCCACCTTGAATGCATTTAATATATTTCTTTTGAAATGAGTTCATATTATCATAAAAAAATGTATTGGTGATGGTTGATTAAAGGAAAAATTATTTATATATTTTAAATGTATTATAATATTTTTGTAGGTTCAAATTCGAGTTTGAGTTCGAGCTTGAATCGAGCTCTAATTCGAGTTTGAGTTCGAGCTTGAATCGAGTTCGAGCTTGAATCGAACTCAAAATCGAGCTTCAATCGAGCTCGAGTCTCGAGCTTTAATCGAGCTCCTGAATTTTTTTTTTAGTTCGAGCCTTTTCGAGTTCGAGTCGAGTTTCAATATTATATTTCGAGTTTGAGTCAAACTTGAAAATTTTAAGCTCGCGAATTTTCGAGTCTAGTCGAGCCTACATTTAAAATTTTTGAGTTCGAGTTGAGCTCGGTAATATTCGAGCTCGACTCAACTCATTTACACCCCTATTTCTTCCCAATAAATGGCATAAAAGAGGTCCTTTATTCTCTCATCTAATATACATGTCTAGAGCCGTAAATGAGCCGAGTACTACATTAATCCCTGCTTTACACTATATGATAACTATACATGTTGATTACCTTATATTGTATTTAATTCAAGCACAGGCATCCAGCTAGAGAGCGTTCATTTAGATGAGAAGAATGAGCTAGGAAAAGCTGTCAGAATTTAGTACGGCTTCAACGTCACTATAAGCTTGAACGTCGTTATTTCATCGGTCAAGTTACCTACCTAATTGAATTGGCTAGAGACCATGCATTGAACCTGCTTTTCATGTTTCACTGCTTTGTGGGGTTCCAGATCAACAAGTTGCTCCATTACATCTTGTTGTTGATTCAACCACCACCCTAGTAGTACAATCGGAATCAATTTTGGCCACTTCACTTCTTCTCAACTTTGAACCTACTCGAGGACAAAATTCTGACCAATTGGGGAGCCACTGTTATCACTATAGTACTAAACGTAGTGTAACAAACACATCATATCGATTTTGACAATCACCACAATGTAATATTAATGCAACGTAATGAGAAATCGCACCACGGTTTTTGTAGTCTGAAATTACTCCGTAGCGTTGTATTAGGCTATATATTATGTTTAGGGACAGTCGTAGGATTTTATGTTAGTAGGGGCGGATTCGAATTTATAAAATTTTAGGAGGATAAACTTGAATTTATAAAATTTTAGGGGACGAAAACATATTTTCAATAAAAAATACATAAAAAAATTTAAAATATATGATAATTTTACTCCTCACCTAGGTCCATCAATGGTTACATCGTAATAGACTTTTAAATTGACGAAATATAATACCACATAGATGAAACGTCCTTATTTAATGTTTGAAGATGGATTATAAGTATATATAATTAGGAAATAGTATTTTTTTTAAAATCCTTATATTATATTAAAAAAATCAAATTTAAAAAGGATAGGTGACCATTAAAACAAATGGGAACACCTAACATGACTTCAATGTTTGAACCTCAGAGAAGTCGTAATGCTCATTTATTAATATAAAAATTTTGGATAAAAGAGAGACCCACTTGAAAGTACCATATCTTTTTATCATATTTGGAAAAGGAAGGACAGGTCTTCCCTTTGATACTGCAACATTCATTAAACAAAGAATGAAAACGAATATTCTTGGACAAATACAACTATTCAAACAATAAAGGGAAAATAAGAGTAATATATCAGTAAATAGTATATATTTTATTTTTAAGTGTTAAAAACCACAAACAAATCATCGGAGAAATAGGCCAATAGGAACTGAGTTCCAAATTTCTCATATCAGTTTTCTTCACAATTCCAAGACCTATTCTTCTTTTTTCATTTCGACAATTGTTGGTTGATCTAACCTCAATCTTGAAGTAAAAATTACAACAAGTTATATAATTATTATTTTATTTATTACTTAATTTAAATGTATATTTATCTTACTAGTTAAATTTAATCAGGCCTACCTACGTCATGGCCCCCATGCCAACAAAGGATAAATTACATATTAAGTCACTCATTTATTATTTAGTTTCTATTTTGGTCACTCAACTATTATTTATTTTAAACCACACTTAAAGGTACATTTTAATTATGTTTTGGTCTCTCATCCTTAAAACAATTAGTGGTGTTGTTGATGTATCATCATAAGATAATGTCATTCATGATTGAAAATCAGTTAGTGGGCTTGTTGAAGATCATCTTAATAATGTCAAATGTTAATTATATGAATAAAAATATCAAAAGAGGGAATAACATGATTAAAAGAGCTTTTGGTTGTAAAACAAAGAACTGTAACATATTGTCTAAATGTCTCGACAGAAATTTAAAGAAATCCTATTCAACAATTTAATGAATACTATGATGAACAAATTTTGAAATATGAGAGAGAAAAAAGAATTAGAAAAAATAATAAGATTAAGAGATCATGAAAATTATGTTGATAGTGATTTTGCTGATGAGAAATTAACTATTGTGAGATATAAGAGTATAAGATCCAAAATCGAATGAGAACAAAGATAATATCGAAGAGTAAGAACTGATGAAGATTCAGTTAATGAACTCGAGGAAGATAATACTTATAAAACTCAAGAATTTAATGGTTATAAAAAAGTGGAAGGGAACATCAATGGACTAATTTCGGTTCTCTTAAAGCTAGATTAGAGCATATGGATTTCATTCTTCAAAAAATAAAAAGGTTCGATGCAATCGAAATTCACTATAGAATTTTTAAAAACACAAAAGCAAAGTTGGAGAAAATAATATCAAGATTAATATTACATGAAACTTTACCTGCAAAATTACCGAGTTATCATTTCTACAACATGTAACTCAAATTATTAGGAGTCCTTCAGCTTATGAGATGACATGACTATATTTGAAATAATGAGATAAAAAAAATACAAGAATGAGTGAATAATTTTAAACCATAGGAGAAGAAAGAGGTGTGATCATTATATGTGACATGGTGAAAAGAAACAAGAAAGTATCATATAATTAATTTTTTTGATATATAATGTTAGAGGTATTATTTTTAAAAATCAATAGATCCGAACAATGTTAACTCTTATAGCGTTGGGTATTATTTTGACATAATAAAAAAAAACAATTAATGAAATTGGTAAAAACTCTATTATTCAAGTTGTTGCAAATAATAAAACAACAATCAAAGTAGGTGGTTAAATGCTAATACAAAAAATAAAACACTTGTATTTGCTAGCATGTTTTACTTATTGTTTGGATCTTATTTTAGAACAAATCGATAAAAAAAAAGTGTAAAAATATCTTATATTAAGTAAAAATGAATCAAATAAAAATGATACATAACTCTTGCAATTTTAGATTACTAGTTTTTCTATCAATTTTATTACTTTAGAAAACGTTGTTAGAAGCGAACAAACATTAAAAGAAATGATGATTTCTTTAGAACGGAGAAGGTCCGTGTATGCAACAAAACCAACTAGCTTAGACATGATGGAAACCATTGATTTTAGTCAATTTAAGAAAAAGGTTACAGATGTCTTAAAAATTCAAGAATCGTTGGTTAAAGTATAAGAATATATGATGGTGATGAAAAATCAATAATTTGTTTTATTTATGAAGCTATGCATAGATCAAAATTGGCGATTTAAAGACATTATCACTATTACTAAAAATATTAAAAAATAATTGATAGAAAATAGAGCAAACAGCTTCATAATGATTTACATTTTGTTGATATGTCTTAAAACTTTTAAATTTTTAAATTATAACACTTTTTAGATATTTACTATATTATTTTTATATAAGACCTTTTTGAATCTATAATTTTTATATGGAGACAATCTCACGAGTGAAGTGCATTATAAAATTATGAATGAGGTTAGAAATGTTATACAATGGCTACAACTTACTTTGAATGGTAAAATCTGGCAATTAACCATGTGTCTATTTTATATACTCAAATTATTATGAAAATTTATAAAATATCATATCGCAACTACTAATTCATTTATTTTTAGTTCTTTTTATATCGATATAAAATAAAATCTTTTGAAACATCATTAGCTTAAGCTTCAGTTCTAAAGTCTAATCTTGGTAAACAAAAATAATTTAACCTCGATAATTTTATGGATAATGAAATTCTATTTATAGATATTTTGCAAATTATATCTTAATATTTGTATTTTTGTAGCTAAATACCGAATTAATTATGAAAATTGTGTACCAACTTCAACGTATCACTGTCAAAGTTTCGAGTCAAACAACTTCATCTTCAAATTGTGAGCACAATTGGAGTATATTTAGTTTGATCCATACAAAAAAGAGAAATAGATTCGAGCATAAATATTAAAAGCTAATTTATGTCCATTATAATTTGAGGTTGAAGCTAAGACATGAGAAGAAAAAGTGCACAAGAGTTAGAAATGAGTTTTAATATGATCAATCTTGATAATATTTTTAAAGATGAGGATCTATTAAATGCATGAATTGAGAAAGAGATGATATTATGCTTGATTGTAAACATAATTTTTCATGGTTGCCTATAGAGTTACTTAATGAAACTAATGAATAAATTCAAGGTGAAGATATAAATGACATTTCACCTACCCATTCAATGAGAAAATGTTCAATTATCAATGTCAAGTACTAGTCATGATTATAACAATTCTTGTGGTAATAATGAAGGTGCATGTCAGATAAAATATGACACGTTTATTCTAATATTTTTTATAAAGACCAACATATAAAAAAATATCTGGATGATACAAATTTGTAAGTAACCAAAAAATTCATAGTTTGAATTTTGTTTAAGGAAAGGTGGATAATATGCATTTCGTTGTTTGGAATTAGAATCATGAAATGATTCACTAATTTCATTATCATTTGTAGTTAAACTATGTGAAAATGAACTTGTAAATGAATCATAAAACTGTTTTCTTATCCTCGTATGAGTTATATCACGGTCACCACCACCACTTGGTGTTGATAATTGAATACGTTTCTCATTAG